TTCAAAGTAGTCTCCGCTAACGATGCTTTAATACTTTAATTCCTCCTTCAAACCACTTGGCATCTTTGTCCTCCCATACGTTGAAAATATCGTTCGATATCTCTTCTTCGGACTCATATTGCTTCCCCTTCAAATATCTTTTGGTGTTTGGGAACAGGAAATAGTCGCTGGGGGCCAGATCTGGAGAATGCGGTGGATGGTGGAGTTGTTCGAACCCACATTCCCTGATGGCAGCTTGTGCAAGCAATGATTTGTGAAACGGTGCATTGTCATGCAAAAGAAGAACTTTTCGAGTCAGCAAACCAGGACGCTTTTCTCTGATCGCTTTACGCAATCTATACATTTGTTGTGCATAATAATAGCCTGTGACTGTGTTGTTCTTTGGAAGGAATTCAACCATTATTATGCCTTTGGCATCCCAGAATACAGAGGCCATTACTTTGTTTGTGGCAATTTGTTTGCGTGGCACTTTCGATGCTGGTTCACCACGTTTGTGCCATTCCATCATCTGTGATTTGAGCTCTGGATCATAGAAGTGGATCCACGTTTCATCACCAGTCACTATTCGCTCAAATGTGTCCGTTTCATTCCATTCCAACAACTCGAGAAACTCACGTGCAGCAGCAATTCGTTCTTTTTTTTGAGCTCTGTTCAAAGTTCTTGGAATCCATCGTGAGCAAACCTTTCTCATGTGCAATTTTTCATGAAGTATATTGAATACACTGCCAGTTGAGATGTCAAACATTGCTGCTAACACTTTCTTGCTCATTCGAGCAAGAGATGATCAATTTTCTCCACCACATCTGAAGCCGTACGTGTAAATTCTGTCACTTTTGCACCATGTTTGAATCGATGAATAATTTTGTTTGAAATATTTGCCGCCCACTTTGTTCATCCGCTTGCATGTTTGTCCAATTGAATGCAAATCTTTCATCGACAGATATTCGAATATTTTGTCCATACAATCGATGACGTACATTCGCAGTGAAGCAATTTTTTACTAGTGGCGCCGCCACATTTACGCGCCCATCTCTTACTTAAATACTTTTGACAACATTTGGTTCGTGTAGATTTGACATTTCATGGAATGTGACGTTGATTTTCGTTAATATGAAAAAATAAATTCTGTTATCATTATCATAAACATCTTCAAAGAAATAAAAATTTATTTACAATTGATCTTTAAAGCTAGGGGCTTTTATCTTCAAATGTATACGATTTAAACTCTAAATAGTGAACTATATTGCAAAATCATCTGTAATACGCGCAAATAAATGTGCATAACTGCATATATTTGGTGTATATTTCGTGTATATTTCGTATATATTTCGTCTATGGCATGTTTTTTTGTTCTCTTTTGTGCGGATCTTCTTCGATTCTGTGTAGCAATACTGTGTGTGTGTGTACACTGAAGTTTGAAATACATCTTATTCACTGGTATAGGCGAGAAATTTTAATCGTATATATGATGAATAGGACGTGAATATTGTGTATAAATTTGTATGAACGAATGATGAAAGCCCCTAGCTTTAAAGAGACACTATTGCTGTTTGGCTATATACTGTGACAGTATTACTGTCATAGTTTGTGTGTGTGTGTGTATCAATATAAGAATAGACATTGCCGTGACTACCGAAAGCACATTTTTGTGCAACCTGCAGCACATTTCCGTGGTTCGCTAGAGTAGCGTTTATATATGAGTTGAAGCGCGCTGAAATGTGTTTATACTCATACTGTCAAGTGCTAGGGGCAAACTACTTCACTTTCGTAATTCTCATAATTCAATCTAGTACTCCGATAATTCCAAAAAATTCTATATAATTCCATACAATGCCACATAATTCCAAACAGTTTTTGAAGTATTTTAAATAGTTGTTTATCTACACAGAATTTTTGTATGAATAATATTATTTCAACGATAATATTTTTCGATATTTTTTTAATTTTCATAAATATATTTTTATGCAAGTAGATACAACCGAAACCAAACTATTTTATTGGCTTCATTTACTGAACGAATCGTTTCGAAAATTGTTTGCACTGCGATGTGTTGTACAATTTGCATAGCAGCGAAGTTGTATACTCATACATTCAAAGCATCGCTCTTCACGTACACACACATTGTCGTACAAATCATTTTCGGAACGTTCCCTTCGTTTCAATCACATACAAATGAAACCAATTCAAAATAACTCTCCGAAATCTGTTTGTATGAGAAATGTCGAACCGGTATCATTGATGTGATATACAAGTATGAAAATATATTTATGAAAATATAAAAAATATCGAAAAATATTATCGTTGAAATAATAATATTCATTTAAAAATTCTGTGTAAATAAACAACTATTTAAAATACTTCAAAAACTGTTTGGAATTATGTGGCATTGTATGGAATTATATAGAATTTTTTGGAATTATCGGAGTACTAGATTGAATTATAAGAATTACGAAAGTGAAGTAGTTTGCCCCTTGGTCAAGTGTATCGGTGCATTTCAATCAACATATATTCCTGAAAAGGTGCCTCCTTAAAGAAATCGTTTTTGGCACATATGAATGGGGTAGAATAAAAACTACTTCTCGAAAAATTACTATTTTAAAACGAAACATAAAAAAAATTTCAATAAAAAGTGAATCAATTTTTTTTTGTCCAATTGAAGTGAATCAAGAAAATTTTGTTCAATAAAAGTGAACCAAAAAAAAATTTCACTCGGTTTTTTCAGT